CCAATTACCAGAAGGTAATTGATTATGCGTATTAGGATTCTTATATCACGTTATCAGATAAAAAAAATATAAAAACGAATAAAAAGGATACGTGGGAAACGTAACATTACTAAAATGTTCATTAACGATGAAATTTAGAATAAGTTATCATATTTCATCAGTATTATATTCATCCTTTAAACCGAAGCATCGGATATTTTTATTCCCACCAAATCATATTGGATACACGTATTATGAATGGAATATATAATACTCCATTTGTGCTAATAATACTCAGAATTCATGCTTTATCGGTAACGTCAGGTATTGGCACTGAAATGATAAGAAGGTTACGTAGCCCTCCGAACGTGGGACTAAAAAAAGCATTGGATGATAGGTCTATTCTATACCTAGTCGGTGGTACTACTCAGTATTACTCTTGTCATTAAACACATACATAATTGTTTTAACTATGTTTTATGGTTTTATGCATAAGTTGCGAATAAATTTTCGATCGTTACTAGCTAAATAGATAGTTACTTACTGATATTGGCTTCGTTTACGAAACGAGAAATACGTGTTGTAAAGCAACCAAGTGTAGAGTCACATCTGGTAACTGCTGGTAGGTAACATTTTTTAAAAGAAACTGGAGACAATTTAATTGAATATTTGAGGTTGAGAAACATTGGAAAATGCCGCAAGGTACGAGAAAAAAACCTTTTAGCGGTAAAGCAAAGAAACAACAGTTGCAAGCAAAAAAACAACGACAAAATCCTACTCTGCTGAGTATGTACAATGTAAAACTAACAAGAAATTTCTGCATCAAGCAATTCTATCATAGTGGGTAGTTAAGATTAAATAATTTTATGTAATATATTAATAGCTGGATGCTGCAGTAGGAGCGATGAAGCAAAATCAAATATTGGCGATGAGTTTGGACACAATGCCATACAAAAGATCAACAAACAACCTATAGATGGTAATACGTCTAGAAATAAATACGCTCTACAGTTTTTCCAAGAAAATAAGGAAGAACTGATGAAGCGAAAAGAAGAATCTAGAAGCTTGATCAAACATTTATCTCTTAAGGAACAAGAAATTTCCGATAACTATTTCCCACCAGACATTGATATGCCGAAAAGACCACCATGGGACTTCAACATGCTCAAAGAACAATTAGAATTAAGGGAGCAAAAGTACTTTACCGTAAGCAACTGTAATTTTCATTTACATTTATTCTTGTATAGCTTTAGGATCTGCTAATAAATTGTGACCTTTAGGAATATCTGAAGGATATGGAAAAATTAAGTACTATTAGTTACTTTGAATTGAATTTAGAAACATGGAGACAGTTATGGAGAGTTCTAGAAATGTCAGATATATTGTTAATTATTGTTGACATCAGGTACCCAGTCCTAATGTTTCCTCCGTATTTATATCATCATGTAACAAATGAGTTGAAAAAAGATATGATTCTAGTATTAAACAAAGTTGATTTAGTTCCTCCAGCCTTAGTAGTAGCATGGAAAGAATATTTTCAAAACACATACCCGAAATTACACATTTTAATGTTCACATCGTATCCTACATATAATTTACATGGCAACATAAATGAAACAGAAGGATTAAGAAAGAGACGTAGAAGAGGAAAACTAAAAATGGCTGCAGAAGGAGCTCAAAAATTACTGGATACTTGTAAAGAAATTGTAAGAGATAAAGTTAATTTAAGTTCTTGGCATGAGAAAATTCAGGAAGAAATGCAAACGGAGTATGATTTAGATGATGTCGATCATAAAGACACTATTACCTTTGAAAAAGAAGACACAAGTTATTTCGAGCACGAACGATATAAAAACGGAATGCTCACTATTGGTTGTATCGGAACCCCAAATGTTGGAAAGTCGTCTTTGATGAATGCGTTAATGGGTGAATAATAATTCTCGTTACGCGGAATTGAAAAGAAGAGGCATAAAGAAGGTCGAATCACAGAAACTCATACACATATATTTTACAGGAAAGAAAGTTGTAAGCGTATCGCGTACACCAGGACACACTAAGCATTTTCAAACAATATACCTCACAAGAACTGTTTGTCTTTGCGACTGTCCGGGATTGGTGTTTCCGTCAACAGTCCCGAAACAACTACAGATATTAATGGGTTCCTTCCCGATAGCTCAAGTCAGGGAGCCATACACAACAGTTAAATTTCTAGCGGAAAGGGTAGATTTACCAAAACTGCTAAAAATTCAACATCCGGATAACGATGACACGTGGTCCGCGATGGATATATGCGACGGTTGGGCTATTAAACGAAATTTCATAACTGCGCGGGCTGCTAGGCTCGATACTTATAGAGCAGCGAATTCCTTATTGAGAATGGCGTTGGAGGGAAAAATTTGTATACACGTCTACCCACCGGGTTGGGTTGATAAAAAAGGTAACGTACATTATACAGCGGTGAAAGAAACACATTATTCTAACCAAAGCTCTTTCGCGCGTTACAATACAGAAACGTGGGAGAATCATCCAGATGTTGAATTGGTAAGATGGATTCAAGCTAGTAACAAAGGGGAAGATTTTAGTGACGAAGGAAGAGTGCTGCTGTCGTCCGAGGACGACGAAACCGAAGAAGAACCTGCAGACAGTGGAAAGCAGCGAAAGGGGCATGGATTTAATGATTCGGACGATACATCCAGCGAAGAATCAGAGATACCGAAAGTGGTTAATAAATTCGAAGCGCTGTCTACGGATTTATGAAAACATTTACTGTTCACAGGTTTCTGTTGCATCTTTCTTTCTTTATTAATTTTTGATTACATATTATTTACTGTTAATGAAGCTACTTATTTACAACGAAGTAGGATATAACAACACTGATAACGAAATATTCCATACAAACTCGATATATATATACACGCATTATTGTTCTGCATCTAGCGTTTCTTAATTAATGGTTGCACCACTATATACATAGATTTGATTTTTTACTATTGTTTCGTTGGTCCGCTATGCAACAATAACGTAGTAAAAATAGCTATTTCACGAAGAAGCTAAGTAGGGCCATCTCATCGCATGTTCCGATAAACCGAACCAAGGATTTTTTGGCTTTGCTAAAGAACTGTTTCATACGCACTTATTGTTTCCCTATTTGGAAAATGGCTTACAAACTGAAACTACGTTCAAGCTATCTAAAACACTATGTACGTTCTTCAATGGTAGTAGTACATGATTGAAATTTTAAGGCCTACGAAATTTGTACAGTGAGACGTAGCGCGATGTAGATGAATTCTGGATTTGCAAAAAATAATTTATTTTATTTGTTGTGTGTATCACATATACGTACAATATATAGTGATAACGATGTAATTATTGATATGACACGAATAAGGGACGCGATATCTATGTGTGACTGTTCTCAAATCTGACAGTCCTCAAATGTCTCTGTGAGTCACCTTCGAATGTGTTGGTTGCGTACGACTAAAATCTAAGCTCCCAACAACTTTTTAACGAAATATCCGGGTATGGCGTAAAAGAATAGCAATACAAGTACTACTAATCCGATGGTTACAATAGCTTTCAAAATTGCCCATTTGTAGTTATGCCATACGATATATTTAATTGATTTCAAAGGATTCAAGAACCACATGAAAGACGCGTCGGGTCGGCTGAAACAAAAGCGTAAAGAAAATTTTAATTTCAAGATAAATTGCGCGTATCTGTTATTTATGATATAGCGTGTCTTTTATTAACGATTATCGTCTAGATAATTATTAATCGGTGAACCTACGTACTTTGGTTTATCAAGCGGATCCGGTTCGTTCCTGCCGAAACCGGCAGGATTTTTCTCAGCCTCCTCTTTGGTCAACAAGTGGATCTCCGCTTCCACTTTTCCCTGACGAACATTCGTAACGCAAAGTAAAGTACACGTACATATTTCCAGTTTTCGCGAATGAAAATGGGCGCGAGTTGAAATTTACCGTCAATTCCATATCCTCGTTTTCCTTTTTCACGTAGAACGGCCACCAGCCTTTTACCCGTTTTTGTTTGAAAATGTTTACTGTTGGCACAGTTCCGTCTGTCTTCAGCATACTTAAAGTACAAAGCTTGCTGTTCTTTGCACCACGTGGAAATCTGTTTAAGTCGAGAGTAATAGCGCCAAGGAAATCGTCGGCTGAGAAATGGTCCGCGTCCCATACCTACGAGAAAATCAAGTGACGGAACTGGGCAACGTTTTAAGAGAATTGCGAACTACCAATTCATTTAAATAATTCTGTTACTTGTAATTCCAAACGAGCTGGAATTTTGCATTCCGTCTCGTCCCAACTGAAGAGGCTCTCTTTACGATTGATAACAATCTTCTCTTCCGCCACAAGATAATCGAACGGAAATATAAAACGCCAATTGAAGTTTCCTTCTCCGGTTAGAGACCGGTAATGAATATCGGTGGATTGACAGTCTTCTGGCCCCTTCAGCCACCTATCGATACACAGGTGGCTGTTATTTTTATTAATTCGCCAGGCCATCTAGCATTATAGTTTCCTTTGGAAGCGTACTATGTAGCAACAAAGCATAGACTCACCCCTTCACGTAAATGTCGCTCATCTTTTCGCCGGTAAAGAACGCATCATCCTCCAATACAACGTCGTCTGTGTTCCAAATGATAATTCGGAGCTCGTAACTTTTTGGTTTCCTTGGCGAGATGTCGATAGACGGCCCCGGAGAAGGCATGTCCATAGGGAACATGTCGACCCACATCTCCAGCTTTCCCTGTTCGATCCCTGGCTTTTCTGGATTGTAAAGGGGCCGTGTTTCTACGTGTTCGGGAACCAAGGCGCAACCGATTCTTGGAAAAGCATGCCATTGATGAAGTACTGCCAACGCGAGGTGTTCTTCTATTCCTGAAAAGAACAATCGGATGTCGGACGAACGACAGAAATCTGGTTCTGTTTAATTCGTCGGTAAACGTGAACTTGTTCTTACCCTTCGAATAAATATAATACTCCATCTCCTCGTTCGTTAAGGAGAATGTCTTTCTGCCGATCGTTACGCGGCCGTGCGAATACACAGGACCGTCGATCTTTCCCTCCTTGCAAAGCTTTGACAGAATTTGAGTTGGCTTCGTCGAGTCTCGCCATGTGTTGTAACCGGACCTAAAATATATTATAGTAATGTTTCTCCGATAGCGTGCGATTCGGGAACAGCCACGAGTAACAAGAAACGAATATTAATTTCTGCCGATCCGAAGAAATCTTTGAACGTGAGTGACTACTTACTCGTCGTATCTTTTAGGTAGGCCACAAGTAGCACGGTGCCTGCTGTAGAAACGATTTTCCAAATCGATCTTCGTCTCGCCGATCATATCGTCCGCACCAACCAAATCCCAGTCCAACACTTGTATGGTTAGCAGCGAGTCTTGCGGGAAAGTTGCCTCTATTTCAAAACACCTCGCGAGTAAAATAATAAAATTAGAATCGTGTCAGTCAAATTTGGGAATATTGCGAATCGATCGGTGTAAGGACGTACTTGCCGAATACGGGGTTAAGCTGCTTCGATACATAATTCTCTTTGTCGCTGATCCTCTTGTTGCCTAGCTGCAAAACAACGTACGGGTCCGCCTTGCCGTTCAGATCGCAGGGATGAAGGTCGTTCGCTTTGACGATATAAACTCGCACCAGTACGTGAATCGGTTCGTTCGACGGTACACCTTGAAAGAAACCATATTGCGGGTCGAAGCCCATGACCGTGTGATCTATTAGGTCTTTCGGAAGGGGCCACTTGTACACCTTTAAAGCGCCTTTGAAGCTCCCTACGATTCTCGAATCGTCTTCGGGCTCGTCTCCAGTTTTCTTGCCCCGATACAGTTCGAACGTGTGCAACCATTCTTTAAACTGCTCGAACTCTGGCTGTGCTTCCAATTCGTTCGGATAGACTTTCAGGAGCGCCGTTTTCGAAAACTTTTGACAAGTTTGCTTGGGACTGTGCTTCGAAACAAATCTTGCCGCATTCGCGGTCGATTTTAAGCTAAACAGTTTCTTAGTACCGACACCGGGAACCTTTTCGGCCGAGGTGTTCCCTTGACATTCATTGTAGTTTTCTTCCAAGTATATTGGAACTGTGCCGTTCGATTGAGCTTGGAACATCGTCTTCTCTTTACGAAGTTCCTTATTCTCTTCGATCATAGCTTCAACGGAAGCAAAATATTTCGTCCACCAATCCTGACAGCCGTCACCGTCCTCGAACGCATCGAAATCCCCTGAGAGAATCGAATCGGTTTCATTGTTGTCTTATGCATATCCCGTTAATTTATTTACCTGTACTTCCATCATAAACCACGCTTTGTTTCTTCCTTATGTTTTGTTCGGTTTTCTCCTTCTTCGTTGGCCAACCTTGCCCCAAACCCAACGTGATGATCGTATCTCCGCAAATAAATTCGAGCTCGGCGAAAGGATCTAGCAAACACGTCTGTTGGCATTTCGTTTTCGATGTGTCGAAACCTGCGAAGAAACACAATGATCCAGTTTTCAGTATAAAATCGAGCTCGTGATTTATAACCCTATGGATTGTAACGCGAACGAAACACGTAGTTTTCCTACCTGAGTGTTGTTGCAACTGATACAAATTCTTTTTTCTGTCCTCGGCATCCTTTACTCTTTTTGTTTGCGGACAGTACATGTATTTGTGAATCGAATTTATCGTATGTGTACCGACGAGGGTGTATCGACCGAAACTTCTACAGTCTACCGCTCTGATTGTCAATGGCGGTCGATAAAGTTCCTGTTCCGGTAACTCCAATTCCATAAACTTAATCGGCGTATTGAAATTTGGATTCTTCTTCGCGTTCGCTATTACCGAAGAATAAAGAATATGACCGGCGCACTCGACGTCCACACGAGGCTTGTCCACGGTCAGCAGGTGTATCCTTTTCAAATCTCTCAGTCCCCAAAACAATACTTCGATTCTGCGGTACGCGAGAAATGACATTCTTCAATGATGTAGGTACATACATACATATACGTGTGTGTACCTACGACTTTTCGGTTCTGGATGTGTATCTTTGTCTGTTCAGCTTACCTGTATTTCGAGAGTGTCGGTCTGATGCCGTCTGGTACCGGTAGTATAGGCCCTTGATCCTGAACGATGGCAGAAGTTAAACCCGCTATATCCTTTGGATCCGGTAGCGATGGAAAACCGTAATCTTTCGTCGAAGGATACTCAAGCAGTTCGAAAACAGCGAGAAGCTCGCCGGCTCTCGCGATACCTCTGCTCACATCGTACCATTCCAAAGACGGAGGGAATTCCGGCGGCACGTAACAGTCCGAAGCGAGTTTCACATGAGGTCGCGCTACCGCTCGTCCTATGTACTCTGATTTCCCCTGGAACCGATACGTATTTGCTTCGGTTAATTTCGCGCGGAGGATGGATAGTTGCGAATTTCGCGAAAATCGATCGGGTTACGGGTCGACAAACAACAACCTCTGTTAATCATCGAGACAAACGTTTCAAGTTTCCCGTTGCTGTCTGTAATCTACCGCTCAGTTTACTTATCTTCTAATGCCAACCAGCCAGCCAGCCAGCTGTTATCTCTATCGTTTAAACGTCGAACAATCGATGAACGAACCGTGAAACTGTGTATTTTTGCGTGTACTTTCTCTACCCACGGGGGTCGTGTGTCGTATGAAGCGAGTGGTCAACCAGTAAATTGTGTTACCCGATACCGTACGAGTCTTGTATGCCGTATACAAACTGTTAAAGCAGACCCCTCATGCAGTGTTATGTCCATAGTTACAAAATGACTCTGCGAACAAAGAATCACAAGAACGTAAAATACTCGACAACCGGGGTGTCATCGGTAGGGTTTCTTTTTTTTTTTTGCGTTTTATCGACTGTTTCTTTGGTAATCAAAATGAAACAGACATTGCAGTTTATTGATAAAAACGAATGAATGTTTCGCCTATGACATACCACTTTATCTTGATCGAAGATTTCAATGACGATCGAGGGTGGATCTCTTTTGATTTCTTCGCCAGTGCCGTGGATCAAGATGTCGTCGAACAGAAGAAGCTCGTCCCACGTCGGACTCAGAGTTTCGTCGATCACTTGCGTGGACTTGCAGAATTCGCCGCAAATCACTCGCGCGAATGGATCCGAGAGACCGGACGCGTCGCTACCGATCAAAGATCGGGCTTGATACATGTGCGCTCTCAACTGGAATTTCTACTCAATAATTATTGCAAGATTTTAGTCAACGAATCGCTCGAGTTCTTCTGCCGTTCAAACGACACGAAATGGAAACTCGGAAACGTGGAAACGATCGAAAGAACGGATCCGTTACCATTGCAAGACATACTTTCGTGCATCGGACACTCACGTGTTTTTCAATATAATGCACAACGATCGGTGGTAATGCGCGCGGTCTGTCAACGTTCCTAAGTTCGTGACTGAGTTCGTACCCCTTCGGTAGACCTTGGATAAAGTACTTCTTGTGCTTCAGTATCCCCAGCCACATGTAGATTTGCAATTTCGTTTGTATACCCCAGCCGGACGGTCCGAATCGTTTCTTTCCTGGAAGCTACGTATTCAATATAATATACGTACATCACACATACGTACACATACATAAGCATATATTTATTTACATACATATGTATATCGTGTTCAGTAAAATAGCAACGTAATGTTTCAAACATTTCACTTTTTTCATTTCATTCGATACACTAAATTAACGTACCTTGAGAAACATTGTCTGCACTTTGCCACAGTATTTGCCACATTCCTCATCCACGATAGAATAAATTAAATCCCTGCCAGGTATTCTTTGATAAGCCACGCGTCGTCCACCGCTAATTACCCAAATAAAAACATCCGGTAGTGAATCCTGGGGCTGCAAATACATCCCCTTTTCAATTACGGAACGGTAACGAGTAATACTCGACACTTTCCACTGTACATATGTATTGTATGTATAGCTTCTACACAATGTATGTATAGACTTACATCTTCGACCAGAAACTTCAATTTCTGTAAGTAACCCTGTGCCGTCTTTAATCTTTCTTTGAAGCTACTTCTCGTGACCACAGCTTTTAGGTTTCTCGATAGGACTCCTACATTTTCCAATTCCCTCTGACACAATTTCATTCTCTCTTTGTCGAGCTTTGTTTTCCCAACGCCTGGCCCGGTGAGACTCGACTTGCTGATACTAACGTATCGATTGCAATTGCTGCTCAATTCCTCGAGCGTAGACTTTAATAGTTTCTCGCCCGCAGAGTCGTCCGTGTGCGCCTGAGCCTCCGACAATCCCTCTTCCTAAAAATTACAATCGCGGATGATATTGTAGTTTTCGAACAATCGCCAGTCGCGTCTCCTATTTCTCGATTATTTCGCTCGACTTACGAGTTTATCCGTGATTTTGCTAATGATATTGCTGTTGTACATTCTACGCCTATAATCCGGCCAAATGCTTCTAACATGGAGGCACGGTTTGTCGTCCCAGTACGGTATGAAATAATAAATTTTGTCGTCGGCCCCATTTCGCACATCTGGTAACGATCAACGTGAACCAACGAATCCATAACTGGCTGTATTCCGAAATATTAACCTGCTAGTCGCGAATTTCGAATGCATCGCGATAACGCTGACTCTCCGGCAAAAACGTTTATCAAAATTGTATCGAAGAAAGATTACTAACAAGTACAGACCGATGCGTGAAACTTACTTTCGAGCTTTCGTTGTGACCATCCAAAGCATTTCCCGCATTTCCTATCGATATTTCAAAGTACATCGGTTTGTCGCCGAGTTTCCTGTCGATCATCGTCGCGTCCATTATCGTTGCGAAAAGAAAAAACTCCTCGTTTCTGGCATAAGCGGACTCGTTGATGACCACGCTGGGTTCTACTTCGACCTCCGATGGAGCCATCTCAACGTTGTCGCTTATTTCTGTTCTGATTGCTATTAGTAACCTAGAAGGTAGAAAATAATTCCATTTAAATGGAACCGTTTTACCGCGAAATTGTCGGTATTATTAGAAATCGTGTAGTAGAACGAAGAGTAACCTTGCTCTGTATGAAATTCCTTCTCCCAATCCCGCGTTCAGCGTCGAATGTTCGTCTATAAGACTGTAATCCCGTATGCTACCATAAAAGTGAATAAAGGCCGGACCGAAAGTGGGTAAAAATCCTCTTTCGCCGTCGTTGCTAATCTGTTTCAAATCGACGAAATGGGTACCGATTACGGTGGCGTGGACTGGGTCGTTGTCGCACAGTTGAATTTTGATCCTTTGACATAGAGGCGGAAACATTTCCGTGAAAACAATCTGTTCGTTCCAAACCGGCGCGTAACGGTGCCTCTTAACGCTCGTCTTGCCCTAAATTACGTGACAGACAAACAAAGCTTTTCCTTTTTCGTTTTTCTTGTTGTACTCGACGGTGTATGCGAAAACGAAAATTAAACTCAACGACAATTAATAGGTATTTTAATAAATATTCGAAGGAAACGAATATGATCGATCTTACGGTTAATCCAGCGAAGGACACTTGAACGTAAGGATCCACCAAATCTTTCACCTCGCCCGTGAACGCTTTCTTCACGTTCGCCATTATGCTGCTGTTCATTTTCGGCAATCCGTCGGCCCTGTACACCTTCACGATAAACTTTGCCCTTTGCCTCTCGATGGGCACGCCATCCGGAAGCAACAGATTTCCCTCGATATCGTCCTCGTCTTTTTCGCTCTTTGGCGGTATTTTCACGGTGTCCCCTTTTCCGATCACGCTTATGTCGCACTTTAAGTAGCCCTTTGGACCGCCGGCAACGTCGTCCGGATCCGTCAGCAGCGCCCATTTATGGTAAAATTGGTGATCTATTTAGTGAACGTTTCTTATGTTTATTACGTGCTGACAATTTCCCCCGATAAATACTCGTGATAGCAGAGATAGAGATATCGAGAGAGAGTTGAAAAAATCGAGTGAATCGAAGCAAAGGATCGTTCGAGGAAAGTTACGACTCGACAGTCATTCGCTTCCGACACACATTTTCGCGTCGCGTCGTTGAACGATCTTCAAAGTCGAGCGTTATTCCAAAGCTGTTCCGAAAGCATTATCAAAGCCTAAACCTCTCATCAAGGTTGATAAAACTGTTCTAATAGTGCATTGCATTGAAATTGGACAAGTATAGATGTTCTATGCGACAGAAGCGGCATGACTCGAGGACAGTGTGTCGTATGCGCACAGGAAGGTTCGAGGAGACATGCTCTGGAATGGTGCAAGGTAAAAATGAGAAGCGTAATGCGGGAACAGTTGACATTTATTCGGCACGAGTTTTAACGAGACCGATTGCTTAATCTCATTTTCATATTTTTCGCGTGTTATCGTTTTTCTTCGACAAAGATTCATCTACAATCTACGGAATGACGTTTACTAGCAAAAGTACAAAGCGGTTGGCTTTATCGAGTACTGCAGGCACGGAAACGACAAACAGTAGGTACCGGTAGGTACACGCAAAAAGCATTCACAGTGATGTGCGTTGTACGTAATCCTCGATGTACCGTATTTCTTTTATCATCTACCTTAGTTTCTACAGATCACGTGTACAGTGATAACAGTTCGATTATACACCTCAACTTCGGATCGCCGTTTAACATTCATAAGAAATAGGGAAACTGTTCGCAGAGATATAAATACGCGTGTTATTTAATATACCGGTCAAGTTATGTACAACAACGATCAATACGCGCGAAGTCTCTGTACTCTGGACTGTGGTATTTGAATACAAAATCGTCTTTTTACTCGTATCTCGCCTCAGTCACGGAAACAGATGAAGGATCGAAAGTATCGATCGAAGAGATCGGTCATTGATGATCGAAAGTAGTCTTTAGCGTCTCTTTCGGACGATTGAGAAATTGTACCTGGTTGTGCCCATACGGTCGCGATGTCTAACTTAAAGCTGCCCAGCGTTAGATTAGCGCGTAAGAGATTCCGCGATTGCTGCACCTGCGTACCAGTAGAAGGTTAACCCTCACTCACTTTTTTCTATCTGTCAACATCGAGAGCGTAAAGATCGCATCTTCTGTTTTTTTGCAAGTTATTATAATTATCCCGAAAAGTATTCGTATGCAGAAATGCCGTATTTCCCTTGTGATTTTCTCATTATCCGTTCTCCTTTCCCTGTTTATACTCTGAGAGAAACCGCAAACCAAAGGTACCATTTGATTACCATACACGTAACACGATCGTGGCATTAATTTCTGAATCGCGAAATATACAACGTTATTATTGTTCGATTTTCAACAATTGTATCTTACTATATTCCTCCCGTGAAATGAATAGTGTTTTCTATTTTCTATTCCATTACGTCATTATAACGGATATCTTTCGACTACAGTGAACGTTGTAATCAGGAGCGAAGCGCGATTAGCAATTTACTAGGCGACGTGTTACGATATTTGTGAAATATCGACAAGAACTAAGATCGCTACGTGCCTAAACGAAACATTTTACTTCCTGACTTGTATACTAGAAACGACAGCTCCGTAGTGTAACGCAACTTGTGTTAAAAGCAGACTTACCGAAAGCGTGATGATTTTATCGAAAAGCATCACGGGTGGCATGTGAAAGTCAAAGACAAAGTACTGTAACAAAGACAAGTGTACGGAACACGTTACTGTGTGTACACGGTATTGCTTATTATTTCGAGAAAAATAGTAAAATAACAAGTGTTGTCCAAACAAGTAATAGAAAAATGATATCTATTTCATTTTACGTTACGATCATGACTTACTTCGTTGTAATATGGACAATTCGTGGATTCCTTGACGCTGGTGTATTTCCGTTGGTCTCCAACTTGCACGCAAACAACCGGATCCATGTTCAGACCCGCTAATTGCCTAGCTTCGATTATAGTAACGCAGACTTGATAATCCTGTGCTTTCAACGCGGTCTGCCCGGTGTCGGCAGTCTGTAAAAAATAAATTCGAAAATCGTTTCGATCTTCACGATGTATTCGTCTAGAATCTAGGGGAAGGAAACAGATACTGAATCCCATCGCGGACAAACATATTGGACAAAGGGCAATTGAATGGTGACACATATGTAATTCGTTTCGAAGTGTAGTGCGTAGACGGACGAGCGGATTGTTATGCAAAGACGGTTGCGCAATTCATCGCGTAATTTCTACTTTATTTCGTTTGCCTCGGGATTGCGGTACGATCGTTGGTCTCTCAGTCTCCTGCTCGCCGCTTCTTTCATTTGCAATTTCGCCGTTGCCGGCGGCACTCCGGGGGAATACATTATCAACTAACTTCTTACGCGTTTCCCTCGTAATATCGACGAGAGTATCGAGTGCTCGTTAAACGTTCGTTAACGTCGATTCGATATTGCACCGCGGCGAATAGATAATCAAATTGCAGACCGGTCTCGACTTATCCAGCGTTCGTTACGGTGGCAACAGACGGTTTTCTCTCGATTATTAAAACGACAAGATCGATCGAACCTTTGGTTTCGGTTTCTTCGGTGGCTTGGCGATCGCATCCCGCGATTCCATCGCGTCCCCGTTGGCCCGGTTCTCGCAGTCGGATGTGCTCGTTTCCAAAGAAGTCATCGAGTTCGTCCTCGAAGGTTCGTTGGAAGTTGCGCAACTCGAGTCCCTTCCATCGAGTAATTCCCGGGTATCGGAGCCGCTGTCGCAGGACCGCGCTCTGGACGGTCTTTGCTTGCCCAGCTTCATGAAAGACCTCATACTTTTCAATGTGGAACTCCTGCTGCATAGAAAACAGATCAAATCTTGCGGCTGGCTGCGTCGACCGAGAACCGAACGTGTCGGAATATCGTCGATCGCGGCCTTAAAATGTTCGGAAATCCTGGAAAGCCGAGCGAAACGGTTCACGAAAAACAAAAAAGTATCACAACATATAGGTATTTACGAATTCAGTTTCATCCGGTTCGTGATTCAATCGGGCGTGAAAAGGTGATTTCGCATATTTAAGTAAACGACGAATCGCAGAATCTTGCTTTATTCAAGGTTTCCGTTGGGAAAGCGACAGTGTGCGGCTTCACCATCGACCGATCGATCGTCCTTCATTTTTCTCTCGTTACAACCGTTCTGTTTACATACTTCACTTATTGATAATTAATTTTCTTTCGTATCGTACACTAGTAGAAGCAACTGTGGTGCTTCCCTCTTATCATAGCTACACGTTTCTGTGATGACTAATAGTAATTTAATTTGGCGGTGGTTGAGGCTAGAGATATGAAAACAAAAGGAGAAGGAACGGCGTTTCGTCCTGAGCCTGCTAGTGGACTCGGCAGATCTCTAGTGACGAATACAGGAGGTACTGTTAGTGACGCCATAGTAATAAAACGTCCTACAAGGGTGCAAACTCTAATTTATTCTCGTTATACAGCCGCCGGTGGTATATACGTGCTGTGAGTTTCTATTATCCTCGAACATAGGTCGGCATATAGCGAGAAAGGGAATGGTATATATGTATATCACCGTTCCTTGTGTCTGCCGAAAAAAGGAGGCGAATACGGGGAAGACTCGATGTTATCGATGTTATCTCACCTCTTACGGTCGAGTGACTTTTCAGTCGCCGACACGGAACTACCCTTCTGTAAAGAACCCTTTTTCGGAATTTTCTCCGGGGTCTGCCAAGATCCCATCCATTTGCCGCTGGCGGAGCTACTGGCGTTCGCTTGCTCGAAACTCCTCTCGAGGTTCGCGATATTCTGCTCGATGTCGATCAGCATCTGTTGCTCGTCCTCCATTATTTCCGATACCGCGTACGAGCTACAGCTTCCGTCGGGAGGGTTGTATCGGATTTCGAAGCAAATCACCGCCTACGCATACCAAATAAATTCTCCACGAACTGCGGTCGCATGGCATCGGTTGACAGCCAATACTCGATAATATTTATAGTCATCAATTTCAAAGGAATACATTCTGCTCGAATTAAAAGCTTCGTACTACATATATGTATGGAAAATCAAACGCTTTAGCTAAAACGATAGTAGTTAAGCGCTTCGTATGTAGAAGGGGAGGAAATTGTTATCGCGAAGATTTTTCTACGTACCGGAAGCGGCTTGTTGTTCAGATCTACCAATGAATCGGTGACTGCGATTCTGCCTTCTCGTACCACCGTCTGTAAAACTAAACCATACTTCGCGATCACCTTCTCGTTCCTTAGAACGCCTCGCGACACCACCATCAATTGCAATACTTCCGCTTCGTCGACTGGTCTGCCCAAATTCCACGTGAACATCTGAAATGAAATTTGATTCACGGCGTCATCCGGCAAGGAACGAACAAATTAAATTGGAGCAGTCGAGTGGACGCGTGCCTATGTTCCTGTATCTATTACAAACCCTTCTTGTCGCTTAATTCGAAGTTAAAATCGCGAGCAATCAAGAAATTAAATCAGTTTATCGACGCGTATACAGATAGGCGACTCGACTCGATTTATTTTTTGGTATAGGTATGTACATATACCTAAAGCCTAAGTTGACGACGATATAACAAAGTATCAATCCCGTTATGAGATGCGTGTCGTTTCGTACACGATTCACGGCGACCCGTTTTTGCCGATCGATCCCCTTATCGCGCACTTTTGCGTTGACCATGGCATGAAATCCTAACGAGACTCTCCGACAATCTATGGAAATTACCGAAGACCAGACCCGCCACACGAGTTTCTATTATCAGAGAATCGGAAACGATTACCGTCCCGTGATCGGCAATCGCGCTATATTCGTTCAGGTCGCGTGATCGTATTCGTCTAATTGAAAGCCTATGTCTTTATAATGACCATTCAATTTTCGATTCCTGATACTGTTCCAACACGGGGAACAAGGAAATGGTTATCTAATAACATATCGTGTCGCATCCGGTGCAGCTCGAATGTGAGATACAGAAATACCAAGGGAACTGCGGGTGAAGGTGAAAACTTCCGTTCCGGCACGGCAAGAATCTGTCGCGGGAAATAAAAAATGAATGCGCTAACATCGTTCGTTGGATATACGATATACGCGAAGAGCATTAAATCGTGTTCGTTTTAATCGAGAAAAGAACTGGGTCACGGCGAAGGCTTTTTGCACAAAGTGGTACATATACCAAATGTACATATAGAGTATATAAAATTTAGTCAGTTTGTGTACCCGTAATGAACCTAATTCCACGCGAACTTATAAAATATACACGCAAAAGCTTGCACAGAACCTCTTCTGTATTCATAATTCGATGCAATTACGCGAAAATAAAAATATCAAAACGCGCGTATAAAATTGTCAAGTTTTATTAATTAACCGGCGGCAGTTCTCGATGTCGAAATTGAAGCGCTATTCGACACTTATTCGAATATAACAATATCTACGTAATAATGCTCGATTGTGCCGATGGCAATGCCGGTCACAAGTATTTATACTAGAACTTACTTCGTCCACCGGAATATGATCTCCGTTTTCTTCTAAACATTTCGAATAGTGAGGTACATCTATAACAAAAGAATTATTAACGCGTTAAATTGACGTTGTTTTCTGACATTCACAACGTTTTATTCTAAATGGTCCTGTTTAGCGATAACAACGTTCGGGAGAATAAAGTTCTGGAACGCAGAAATTAGAATTCTACATACATCCGATAGTAGTAAGGAAAACGAGATGCCTCGTAAGAGTATCATACCAACGCGTGAAAGTATTTTCAGATTCCTCAGGAATATGAAATCAAGATGCATCGAATATTTTCTACACGCGTACGTACCTACTACTTTCTTTCAGAAGCAATCAACTTGAATATTTTTCATATGGTACGCATCTGAACCATGAGCATTGCGCTTTAAATATTCCGTGTTTCGCTACACAATTCGAATCTATGTTTACCCACACTGTTGAAAAATTGCAGCCACCATTCACTGTCACCTCTTTACACGCGTACGTACCTACTACTTTCTTTCAGAAGCAATCAACTTGAATATTTTTCATATGGTATGCATCTGGACCATGAGCATTGCGCTTTAAATATTCCGTGTTTCGCTACACAATTCGAATCTCTATTTACCCACACTGTTGAAAAATTGCAGCCACTATTCACTGTCACCTCTGAAAAACATTTCTTCTATGTGCGTGCAATGTTGAAAAACATTTCTTCTATGTGCGTGCAATTTATGAATTTAACGAATTCACCTGATCCGTGTACGTAAAAACAACGAAAAATTATTAGGAAAACCAGAAACGAACAGCAATCGAGAAAACTGATAATTCGGTTTAGGTAGAGCACACTTTAATCTCTGGCTCTTCTAGCCCTAGTTCTTTCTTGTATTTCACTTATCTCTTTATAAGGGATTTCATTGAGAACTATAATAAATGTTTTATCTCGTACACATTCAATAGACAAGCTGTGGCAACGATCAAACGTTTGCCAGGTAGAAAGAACGAGCGAAAAGTCGGATGTTAAGCCGGACTTGATGTTAATCTTTCCATGTGTTATTTACTCTCTAATTAGCGATGGCATTGCAGAGCTTTATATTACAACCAATTACAAAATACATTTTCCAAGATAAAAGAAAAGAAGGATGAAAAAAACGTGTGACGATTGTCCGTCCCAGGTATGACAAGTAATTACAGACATATATGTATAGGTACTGTATTTTCCGAGTGCGATCCATTTACACTCGAGATAATACCGATCCCAACGATATTAATCGCGCAAAATAACAAATAGGTAGAGTTCCAAGTCAAACATTTTTTTTTGTATCGTTGCTTCGTGTTGATCGGATAATTTAATCAGTTAATGAAACATGTTAGAATTTCGTAGGCGCTAATTTGGTGTATTTGAAAAAAATGGTAATTTACTCCAAGACATTTTCAGGGTTAATGAAAATAACATTGCTTCTACGACACGAGACAGCGGTCTATGTACATACATATACATATATGTACATACACGCGCCTAAGCAAGTAAATCCGAAAAGAATCGTAAACTGTTAGGAGGTCGAGCGAGAAAGCTTGCTGCGTAAGTTTATGTCACGCGAGCTCACAGGCTTCAACGAACTAGGGCAAGCATGATTAAATGAAACTTTAGCCTCTAGGGCCCCGTGCCTGTGACCCAAAGGCGACTCCCTGAAGATCGTAACAGGACCAGGAACGGAGAGTTCGTACCGCCTAGATTGCATCTATTTTTTCACCGTTAACACGTTATACGTGTATGTACACATGTATCCAGCCAACCGACTAAGCTGACTGGGATAGTCCATTTCTCGTGACCTTTTCCGGAAATCTCGCAACAAGCATGAAATAAACAAGAGTGCAGTACATGCAAGCTAAAACGTAAGCTAATACAGCACATCGTCGCACTAACTAGATCACAGTGTCGTTGTTTTTTCGTTATTATTTTCGATACCGCGCGAAATTAATTTCAATGCTCAAAAAATCTACATTTCTAGAGACATCGACAACTATGCTTCATAGTCGTAAATCCTCGCGTACCATATGCTTCTCCTTCTCGGCTGGAATCGCTTCGTTATTTAAGGAAGTATTCATGATTCCGAAGCAGAGTTCACGCATGGAATATTACCTCAGCGATTAACGATATTGGCGAGCACCACTCATCCCTTTAAACATGTTAGGAACCCTTTTGTATCAATGATGTGCAGAATCTCGCGAAATGACCTCTCAGCCCTTGATTCGTTTAACCTATCGACAACGTCTGCGGTTCTACTCTATAGGAGCTCACGCTTCGTTAAATATCTCGAGTATCGCGACTGCGCTCGATCGCGGTAAATCAACGGTTTAATTTACCGACCTTTCCGTCCTCTCAACTAGCACGCAACTTTTTAATGTGCAAGTAAAGTTCTTTTCCTCCTATTTTTACCTGCTGGCATTTCCGTAAACGTAATGAGGTGACAAGTTTTTCGCTGCACGGCGTAAGAATGGAAAGATACGTGGATAGATTAAAGGAAGGGATAACAAGTGACAAGCTGTAAATAAGTAGCCGAAAATTTGCGTTATTTATGGAATGATTTATTAATTCGAATTTCCTCTGTTAGGTAGACACGTACAATAAATTCTCGATGAGTGTTCGAAGGTTCGTTCGCACTGAAAAGGAGGGGTCCCCAGGTGTAACGCTGACTTTCTAACGAAGTTTATCACCGTGATAGAACCTGGAATGCTGGCGCCAAGTATATTTCTTTCAGCCGCATATGGCCATTAGTTTATAAAATATTTAATTTTCAGTACCGAGAAGCCTTTGAACACTCATCGAGGATTTATTGTAGATATATAGAATGCATGTTCCTGTAGAATATGCGAAGGGTGACACAATACCGTATCCCTAGAAGCTGATTGCGAACACTCATCTCTACGAGAGCCAATAGAACGCGATATATGTATAGGTACACGTTACAATAAACGCGTGTGCCATTCAAGTGTAAAGCAATCTCCGAAGCAATTATACCCATGCGACGATACGACTCGGAGCTTGTGCGAGAAAAAAAGAACAACGTCGGATTGATACGCCTAATGCGTACGTACAGGCAATACGTGTGTAAACCAGCTTCGATTAATTAATATTCCACCGTATCAATGTTTGCGAACACATTTCATGAAACGTCTTACCAACCGAGAATCGAGTTTCGCATTGAATAAACGCGAATCGTACGTTTCGCGTTATTAATCGAGCTTTTTTCAGAACTGTTTCTCTCGAATAGAGTCTTCTCAAATGGGTCGAAGTTTAACGAAACGTTAGCGAGTATAAAGAACCGTCGACGAACTTTCGAGCTGAAACGATCGAAATAAATTATGCGAAGCACGCGATACCTCGCTTAAACTTTTCGTCCACCGTGTTGCATTTTCCGTGCCGTTGTAACGATTCAGGCTTTCCGAATTTTAGGACACCGTTCGCAAATTAATTTATACGGTAAAATATAGCGTATAATATAAATCGTACCAGCTCTATCGAATAAAACGCTTGGTACGTGTACTTTTCACCGTGTAGCTCAGTTGTCGCTTAGGAAAGGCAATCTCTTTAAATGCAAGTACAGATATTATCAGTACGAGGGCATGTATTAAAGTAACCGAGCCCTGTAATTAATTCAACCCATATTGTGCCACGATTTTAATCGTGTTTCATCATTTGCAACGACGTTACATTCTTGAATTAAAATAGAGTTTTGCTAGTTACAACGACTTAAATTTTAAGCATCATTTATCGGATCGGCTGGGTAGCCGTTGCATTGTTCGTACATACAGCGAACAAGTGATTGTCAGCTGTAAGGAAAATGCTTGTTGTTCCACGTGCGCAAAAAGTTTTCATGGTGATTTAAATGTAGACTTGAATGGCACACCAAATAGAAAGTTTATTTATAGAATACTTAATTTCAATCGATAACTGCGACTCGGTACAGGAATCTGAATATACATATGTATAGGGCACACGTGTGTCACCGAAAAATTCACTTTCCATCCAGCGAAACGTTGTATCATTTAATGGGCCGAAAGCGATTGTGTTCTAGTTCGATGTTAGGAGAAATTAACAGGCAAAAGCTGTGCGTTATTAAACACGCGGTTGCGCGACAAGCAACGAGTCCTCTCCGTATAATAACGATCGCGTAATTGATTCAAACTTTCAACGTCTCTCTATTGTTGACCATTATTTCGAACGCTATTTGATTCTCGTGTCCTCTGTTTTATTTTAGTATTCATTTCACATTTTCAAATAATTGTCCGGATGTCTCTTTACACACATTAACGGTGTAATGCATTTTGCATAATTGTTCAAGCATAATGATCTAATTTAAATGCGCATTCTTAAACGTATGTACAATTTAAATTTGCGCAAACGTACAGAGTATGCGTAATAATCTGGTGTACATTGTTGGAACAAATGAATTTAAATTGTGATAGAATATTGGAACTCGTACGACGAGATACAAACAACGACGTTCTATAAATATTTATCGAAGAAACATTTTCCCTTTTCTTTCTAACACGCAGAGCAGCGCCTTCCACTATGACCTTTAAATTAAACTGACAGCAAAACCATACAGTACCGCAAAGGTGACCTTAATGACGGCGAAAAGTACCACTTAAATGGAATAACCCCATAGGTTTACATAAGTGATTAATAACCTACTGTAAACCGAGATTCGATATAATGGATAGGTGGAGTTTGACAATACTTACCCCGGAAATCGACCTTGACAACCTTCTCCCCTTTATGTTTGAGTCCTTGAAAGTTCTTCACTACAACGATCAGCGCCATTCTATGCGATCGAGGTTGCAGATTCAAGACTATCGACGAAATTCAACGTTCGTTAAAGATACACGGTCCAGAATAATCAAACGTACGCGTTACACCGCAAACTGTGTTTCGTTGCTCGGTCATCTTCGCCGGGCGAAATGAAATTCGATAGCGACAATTGTCTATTATCTACGTATACGTCTCGAAAGATGGACCAACAAGTCTGGACGTCAGAGTATACATATGTATACCACGGAAACGATCGAGCAGCTAGCTTGTTGAGTGCAAGCGCTTAAATTACCCGTGATCGCAATACGATTCCCATTCTGGGATATTTTCAGTAAGCTCCCGAGAGCTTTCGGTTTATGTTTCGGACGCGACGTTGCAATCGGTAAACGAAAGAACGTGTACACGAGCCGAATGATAGCGTCGGACTGTCTGGTGTTCGCACTTCGAACAACCCCTGAGTCCTGACCGACCAACCCGTCCTGCCTAGTGCCTACACGTTCTACTCGTCCTACCCGTCCTACCCATTCCAGCATCCTGGAGATATTCGGCGCACGCGCTCCATGCTTTTTCGCTTGTACACGAACTACGCGTCATCGGCGACACAGCTATCCACCGTTTCACCCTCGCTTACTTCGCCATCCCCCTTCTATCGGTTTGCATTCTCTCCGCGTAATCGTTGACGTACGTCACGAATTTCCTTTCCTTTACTCTCAACGGTGGGGAAACCGTTGGAATAATCGGCATACACGCGCGAACGGATACCGTTCAGCCGAACAACATCGACTTCCTGCCAATCCAGATTCCATGCTGTTCTTCCATGGTTCGATGACACGACAATATGTCCAGAGGAGGTATAGGAGTTGGCGGGGAATACTTACTCGAAGAACGCTTGGCACGATAGCTACCCTCGAAAAAGTAAGCAAAAGATAACCCGTCGAACAAATCTTGTCACTTCCTTTAGCAGTCCTTCGGAATCGCGATACTGAACAGTGCGCTGTCAATTCTCTTCGAAACATTACCTACTTATTCGTATACTCGATAATGTGTATAAAATTTCGCTTAGTTTTTTGGACAGAAATTTTCGTCGAAACGAGCCTTCTTTCGACCGCGACGATTCGTTTATCACTTACTCGAAAAATATTTCTCGCGCGTTGATGCGCATGACAGCAAGTTTCCGAATATTTAACACGTGAATGTTAAGTGGTAAATATTACGAAAAGGACGATTATTTTCAATGCACTTGTCGTCGATGCATTCCAATAACGTTCTATACAGTTTAATACAGTTATTTGAAACTTGGTTTCTCATATACGCACGTAACTTAATTTGAAATTTATGCGATCGAAGTACGTAACGAAAAGGAGAAGGTAATCGTTCGGTAGCTCTCCAATCTAATAAACTTCTCCTCGATTAATTCGTCAGAAAATCGGATGCAGCGGTTATCGAGTTTATGGTCCCGTTAAACGGATAGTCAATTGCAGAGAATCCCGGTTCTTAGTCTGAAAAGATCCGTAATTTATTTATATTTCGAACCTAAACGTTGCTAACTTCTGAAAAATAAAAGAGTCACGAAAACTACGTGAAATAAATTCCAATATCTGAGAAACCTTTCAAAGGAGACCTTCCTCTGACAAATACTTTGATGAGTATTTTTCAAAGGAAAAACGCTGTACTGTCGGGCGAAGAATGTGTTTCAAGATCGGAAAGACGGGAACAAGTGTGTAGCGGGAGAATGTAAAAGGTTCGCTTGTATGGTAGACAACATAAATTGCCACGACCCAAGCAAAATTTGCGAAAAAGACAGGCAAAGCGAACAGATAGTTAAAAGGCATGAACTTTCTAAGTTTCTTGTCAACTTCTTCGGGTCGTGGTTCTTTGGATGTGGTGCGAGTAGATCAATAATCGAGTAGAAGTTAGGTCTGAATTTTCCCAGCGCCATCCTATCACATTATTTGGAACTACCAACTGTTGCTCTTTTTCTTTGGGCTTTTCCAACTTGAATCGACCCACTACGCCCACGACCCATTAATCCTCGTTTTGTACGCAACCGCGTATATTCATTCTCTTTCTGTCGCAGTCTATTAAGTATCTTATTCCGATTCGTTGCAGGAGACCACCGATACGTCACAATTTATAATTTATTTAAAATTACGCGGACCATAGTCGTCGTATACGGCCATATTATTAGTATGAATCCGTATGCAGTGTCGTGAACGATGTCCCTCTGCCAGCAGATATTTTTCAATCGTATAATATGAAGAATGCTGCGCGGCATCAGCATATTCATGTAACATCGTACACGGAAGGATCGTATTGTTTCAGAAACGTCGAGTAAACGGAAAATTCATGGAAGTTCTTATCAAACAAAGTGAACTGAAATATCGTATTTGCAAACCTGTACTTGCACAGTATCGAGTACTCTGACAATAGTATAAGGTACAGATACAGCAAAATACAATGTTATTTTCTGAACGGTTAAACGATATTCTAAATCCGTCAAAGAATTCTCGCTGGTTATTGCTGAAAAAAGACATATAGCGTGGTGTTTCGTATCGATCCTAAAGTAAAACCAAGGTGGAACACCGCTCGTGTTGTAGTTACGGTTATGGTCACGGCTACGTTCCACGTTGGCCACGGTGCCTTAAGAAATCACCTCGACGTACATTGCATCACGATATTATTGCCGAATATCGGTTGAAAGTAGACCCATTTTCGTACCCCGTACAAAATCCATCCAGTTTGATCAACGGAACCAGTTCGTTCGACTAAAAGTAACGGTTTCAACCGAACGTAATTGATGGTATTATTATGTAATGCCTACAGACTACACTATACACAGACGGGATACGTGGGAAATGTAAGTGTCGTGATAATGAATAGCTTGAAATTAAACAGAAAAGCATACCTTTATTTCCATAAATGTACTCGTACACATATCACAATTAATTATTATCAAATAAACGTACAAAACCTTACTTAACTTATAATACCGGTAGTAGGTAAAAATGGAAAAGCGTGACAATTTTCACTGAAAGAAACCAGATTTTTATGTAAAAATATTAAAGCTTGTGCAAGTTATCGATTCTTTGGACAATTCGCTCGAGACTTAAGATTCCAGAATTTCACTCGTGTTTAACGAAATTTTCGAACGCGTAAATCTATTGCATTCGAATGCAATATCTTGCACTTCTCCATCGTCTTCGACATTCTACTATCGTCCGTCGGAATTCGAAATGTACAATAAGTCGTGTAGACTGTACGATTAGCCGCAATTCAATTCGGTGCACAATGATCAAATGAAAACTGGTTCAAACCCACTACGACATATTCTATTTTTTCATAAGTCAATCGTAAAAATATTTAATCAATGTGCAATTCCAAGTGAAAAGCATAGATGCTTCGGTCTTCGAAAGATCGATGCTCAAGAAAATGAAATATCCTTGAAAGAAAAAGTGAACTCTGACTTATTGTTAGTCCAAAGAGTTATCCTTACAGTTAACCGAATCTCCTTGGCCTACTTACGCTTACGATGCGCCCAGCACTATCACCGAACCAAAGTAACAACCTTTCTTACAGGAACGCGCTGGAGCGGTACTTACACTCTAAACGCGTCAAAGTATTCGCAGCTTTGTGATCGTCACATCACTGATGAATTTTTTGAATCGCTCCACCCAAAACAGGCAAACACTTGATGTATTCCATAATGGAATCCAAACAGAATCTGGCGATCTCGAAGTTCTTGTAGATAAGACAGAGCATTCCGAAATAAAACAAGTACACGGTGGTTATATGAATAACGTACATCCTGTAAAAGATATGCAAACCACGTTACATCGAAAAATTCTCTATAGCTACTCTTATGTACACGTGCACGGCGCGATGTATAGAATACACATTACGTACAGTGCTTGATGTCTACGAGCCTTCGGCAAACTGGACAGATCTTCTTTCATACAGTATTGTCGTGCGCCTAAAAGGCATTGCTTCATATATTCCACCTCATCGATTGTTAGAAAGTCAATCGGGAATATTTTTTTATCCTCGGCACTCATTTCGCCCCACATTATCAACAAATTTGTATTATGGAAGACCCATTCCCGCGTTGTAAAGTACTGTAACACTTCCAGTCCATCCGAAATTCGTTTTTGAATGCGAACCATACTGGAGAAAAATAAGAAACGAATGTTACGTGAACGAAAATCTTGTCGAAGGGTGCGGAACCCAACGAAACTCACAATCTCTTTTGCTGGAATATCAACATAAGAAAGTCGATCAAGTAAGCCGGAATGATATGGAAGAAGAAAACGAAGAGATTGTGCACGAACTTGCTGCTGCGTATGTCACCGTCCGGATACCAAACCTGTCCCTCGAAGGGATATTTGTAAGCAATCGTTCTGCCCTTCTCCAATATTTCCCCCCAGGTGATCGGTTTCACGCCGCTTTGCGTGATATTGTATACCGGCATGTTTTTTGACCTAAGAAGAAACATGATATGTATATAATTAAGACTTGTATTACAGAATCCTAGAAGAACAGATCAAAGTACAACCGACGAGATACTACATACTTGTCCCAGGTAACTGTCCTGTATGAAATCGCTATTAGAGCATTGATAGCTAGATCAACGGGTATCACCTCGGCGTGATACTTCCCATTACAGTGCATCGACCTTATGACTCCTTTCCCTGCACCTACTATGAGTCCTACCGGCCCGTTCAAGTTGTCTACCCATCCAGGCATCGGTTCCCCCCAAGCAGGAGTTACTGTAAACACATCGACACCGCATACTTCATCCAGTCTTTAATTCGAACAGTTAGAAATTATCATTGACGCAGTACCAGAAAAAAAAAGGAGAATAATTATCGATTCGCGAGTGAGTATGCGTACCGATCGATGGTCTGGCGATGCTGCAAGGTAAGTTCAAATACTCGTCGGCCACCAATTTTTCGGCCAACCGCTTCGAATATGTATAAGTATTCGGATGCTGGTCCAACAACCTACACGAAGAAAAGGCAAGATTTATTCGTTCGATTAAACGTGTTTGAAATATCGAATCGTGATTTCTCAAAGAGTCGCAACGTCTGGCACAACTATAGTGTACATAAATATATCGTTAAAACCGTGAGGTAAAATCGAACTCATCGACTGGTGAAATTTCACGATATCAGCAACAGTGAAACGACGAATGAACCGATCCAACTGTCAATTACTTCGGAGTGATGAGATCAATGGCGCTATCGTCCAGCCATTCCACCAATCTCATTACATCCTGAGGATCGTCCGGAGCATCGTATACTCGTTCCCCAAGTTCCTCTTGATCAGGATGACAAAATGCAGTACTCAGATACACAAACGATTTTACACGCTTCATCTTTTTGCTGAGATCCAACACCCTCTTCGTTCCGATCTGAACACGCAAGAAACAGTTTTCAGTTACGAGTACAATAGGTACATACTCACTTGACAGTTTGCCGTGAAGAAAAGACAGGACAGAGGGGTGTAACCAAATGTGTACACCTACGGAACAAAGGCGGTCTCGGACGAAGAGTCTCAACCGCATACGCAAATCACGACGTAGGTACATACGCGAAAAGCTCTAAAACTGCGTGAAATGCATATCTATTGCTATACCACTGTAAGTACCGTGTTCATTTCGATGGCATCCTTCAACTTTGCTTCTAATCTAAGCGTCGCCGCGCAATGAAATACAATGTCCGTTTCATTTATCAACATTTCTTGTTGTTCACTGGTCAATCCCAATTGCTCCATGGTAACATCTCCAGGCAGGGCCACTACCTTCTTCAACACGTGCGGTTTCAGCTTTCTGATTCTTTGGAACATCTGTTCACCCGAACATCGCATTAAAATTAAATACGGTTATGTATACGATTTGAACAAGCAAACCAACATCATTAACCGTTCCCAATCCCGACAGCTACTCCTAGTGTTGTAAACTAATCCCCTCTTCCAGCGATACGAGAATTGTACTTACGGGTAATTTAAACATTTCATCCACTCGAAGGTCAGGTGTTCGGCCTCTTTTCGGTCTTATTAAAATATAAATCATATTTAAATCGCTACAGTTAAAAAGCAACTTCTCAATGAGCACTTTTCCCATGAAACCGGTTCCTCCGGTTATAAAAACATTCTTCCCCTTATAAAAGCTTTGAATCTCCGTCAATTCACTCATATTGGATAATCTGAAACAAAAGGTTACGTAAAATTGGTTCGTTAGAGGTATTTCAAAAAATTATCCATAGGCTAATCTCGCTGTCGAATAACTTCTCCGCCTAGCTTGTTTCTCGTGGAAAAATGGCAGCGAAAAAGTGATATACGGCAATGAGGAACAAATAAAACCAATCTTGTATCTGGAACGAACGCAAAAGTCTATTTCCAGTCCATAGACCACGTCCCGTCTTATTCAGTTGGTCGATCAAATTTCAAGCCATTAAAAATGCGATCGTTCATCCATGAAAGCGTCATCACTTTCATTTTCTATAATTTACATATACATATTTAAAAAGTTCGTTGCCCTTAAGTTGCGTCAGTTTCGAATGAACCAAATTTCCAATCTTGCTGATACAGATGCAACATACATACATACATACATCTGCAACCTCGTTACTGTGGAAATACCAAGGTCAAATTTATTATATCATTACGAATTACATATACGTATATCCCCGTCACTCGTGCACTCTATTTTGTTAACGTAATATTTTTCTCCTTTCACCGTTGAACTTGGTGTTGCTTTCTCTCTTGCTCCATGAACACTGAACGCGCGAAGGAAAGTTCCATGAACGGTTTTCGATATCATCAATTTTGTATTACGCTCCTTCATTAAATGATTCGACCGAATATGAAAATCGACGAAAATGTTCGATGAAGGCATGATATGTAGACACGTTTCGAAAAGCACGAATTCCTTCTATTTCTCAATATTCCGGTATGTATGCAGCTCTGTTGATATACATACATTCTACATGCATTCACTCGTATCTTCGAGATTTCGAGAAACTTGTATACTTTTAGTAGTCTGTACAAAGTCCAAGGAAGGCTCCAAACAATTCTCGATCACTACTACACGAGTCCGTTTGGTTAAATGTCCTTAATGTATCGTTGCAGAGTGGGAAGCAGTAGAAAGGATATAAAAGTTCGAACGTATACGTATGTATTATGGTATTTTAGTCTCGATGGCCGAACGGTCTCGTGCTTTACGGAAAACACGTGTCGGTGTTGCAACTACAAACGAGTTTCTCTTACCTCTAGCGATTCACCGATGATAGACGAAAATGTATCTTATATGTATACCGGTTGCAAAACTATCCGCAATCGTGTTCCAATACCATAATCTCCCACTTACGTTTCGACCGGATCTACAGAAGGTGCACTTTCGACCGAAGTGAACAGAAAACAACGGCTTACTAAATTTCCTGGTCTGCGAGCTCATCTTGATTTCTTGTCGATTTTTCGAACTTATCATTCGCAAAATCATACTTTCGCACGGAACGGTTTGAAGACAGTACTTTCTTCGCGGAAAATTGCAAATCCTGATCCTCACATGTACAGAGTATATCCGAAATGATGAATCTCCGACAGAAAGATGATTCGTCCAGTGATATAGCATACTTTTGTAAAGAAAGATGACGCAAGGTGAATTTATGCAAAAAGAATTATGTACCTTGATGTAGTATTTCGTGAAATATTGCTAATAGGGTTCGAGAATCAAGTAAGTGGTTGCCGTAAACAAGTGTACAATCTTAAAGAGACATACATATGTATGTATTATACAATACACATACTATATGCATGTTTCTGGGAGAGCGGACCCAAGAATGCAGTCCCGGAAAATGCGCAGTACATAATGCAATACTAACGAAAAAACGAACTCATTCGTTATATCGATAAATGATTTAGCAATATAATATACAATAACTGGTAGTATGCATGGTCGAAAATTTATCAATGCATCTACTAATATATGCATTACTATATCAAACATTGTTGTCGCGAGTTCACAAACTTATTACACGCTCGTTCGGCATGCATTGAAACGATTTTTACATAACTGATAACCCATTTATAAAGTGTAATATGGAAAGTGTAACATAACTGCGTTACACTTTTCTGAGCAAAGGCTTCAAACTCGTTTAAAGCCATCATTGCATCGACACTAAATGCTTTGTTGATGCTATGATAAAAATCATCTAGATCTAGTTACATATACCAACTGCTTTATCACTGCCGTTAATTTGTGTCTTCGATATCGCTGCGATTATTACCAATGACGACAATAGTATACGTATAAGGAATGCGAGATTATCCCTAACTACGCATAAAAAGACTACATACAACAGTGAAAGTGAATGATCTTTGACGAATTAGTTGTCAACAAAATTTTAAACATTCTTAAAGCGAAAGATCGCCCGACAACTCATAACAATGCTTAAATGAACGAAAAATGTATTGTCGAAAGAAAACATTTTTCTCGTCTATTAATACGTTGATCTGATCCTACTACTCTTTTACGTCCGACGAAAAGAATACACCGAGTAGTTGATTTTCTACCTTTTCCAGATCCGATTAGACAGACATTTGCTCTAACGATAAGAGAACCCGCGGGAATAGTTTCCGTTTGTTCTTTGCACGCGCGGGATTCGCTAAAAAATAATCTTAATTGTAAACAGTCAATCGAATGGCGGCGCCGTATATTTCCCATAGAGTCTAGTGGAAACAGTGGAAAGCGATCGAAGAAACCGACAGATACGCGACTGTATTATTTAAGTATGTAAGTATAAAAACCGGAAGGGTATAACACGCGTCCCAGAGAACCAAGATTGTAAGAGTACGAAGTAAAGGCTGGTTTACCTGACGCTAACGATTCGGCAAGGGAAAGTAAAATCCTGTAAGCTGTCAATTCCAAGGTATTTGCAACTTCGACGCGAATCCGCACAAATCAGCTGAACAAGAGTAAGAGTCGCGAACCGCACGTTCGAACTCACTGAGCTCCGACGAACTTGGCGCAGAGAGTTCTACCCAGTGAGGTACCATCGCCTCCCCACCTATGCCTAATTGGACGACTTTCTTGCTTTTTCTTCTGTTTCAACTGATTTTTCTTACGACGTCACCATTCGATGCATTAAATTGTATCACCAGACATTTAGCATTTTTTTTTAAATTGTATCCTTGGCTGAAGTTTCCGCGACTACATAGAACGATCAACGGGTACTTTTTGTTTGAAATATATTTATGAATTAGCTCGGATCTGACACGAGACCGAGCGTGAAATGTCAACCAGATTTTAATAGTCTCGTCTTTTTTAATTTTTCGTTGATCTGCAAATTTTTCACCTTCTAACAGTTGCAACGTAAACTATCTTTCGGAACGAAAAAATACTCCAACAAACGAGAAGTTATGTTCGATCCCGTAAAAGAATTGAAGTAAGACCGTAGGAGCGTGTAGTTGGACTGCTCGCGTGCATTTCTTTCCAAACGAGAGAGGAAGAAATACAGGAACAAAATACATGTCGACATGTCAATCATCGTTTTCAATTCCAGACACCACCAATATATTATACATTCGAGATTTCGCAAAATAGAGAAATAAAGAAAACACGCATTAATTATGCTACCAACCGCATATCCATGCCCTTTATTTATAGTTACTGCGACGCGCATAATGCGATTTTCCGTTTCTTGTTTCTTACTTATGTATTATAATTAAAATATTTCAAACAACAACTTTTTATTGCGCTGTTTTCTTAAGCGAAAGGAAAAACAAAACGATTTCAACCTGGAACGATACGCTTACTATACATAGAGTCTCGCGCAAACTATGGTATATTATCGTTAGACGTGTAAACCATCTTCAGCGGTAAATGCAAACTTTTCAATAAAAATTTTTAGAAAGTGAAGGCTTATGGGTGTGTGCATTAACACTTGCAGAAGGGTTTCTTATTTGGCATTACAGTGTATTAAAGTCTTCCACGACAATACCGGAAACACTTATCATCTTACAACTACACGATCCTCGATGACACAACATACAATCTAGTAATGAAATTGGAACTTCATTTATCTTTTAGTATATTTGCAACATCAAACGAATGACGATACACTTGGAAAGGTTGAAAAAGAAACTGAGTAGGTACTGGAACATTTTCCCGGTTCTTCGAGTTATTCCAACGATTTAATGATACCCTTTACAGTGATAATATTATAAAAAGAAATAAATTAGGCGTCACACCTAAAATTTAGTTCATAATGAAAATAATAGATATGGCTGACACAATTTTAACATAATATTTTGACATTGTATTGAAAACTGCCATTAAAGAACAATAAGTTACGCTTACTCCTTTCACTGTATGCTTATTCGAAGTCTCTAATGTTACTACTATGGGTATACATATATCAGATATACTTACTTTCGTTACGTAAACCGCATTACGTAAAGTTGATGCACATTCTCGTTCACCGACCTTTTCCGTATAGTGTGCAGTTCGTTCCAAGAATTTCTCACTCCTGTTCATTAGAGCATATCCATCGTTATAGTTTATTACATTCGAGATTAAATGGTATATTTCTCTTAGCTGTTAAAATATTAGTTTTAAGATGTGATTTAATTCTATTTTAATTAATATCAGTTAAACTAATTACGCTGAACAACAATCTTAAATGAGACAAAATGGTAAAGCTAATTTACAGAAAGTCTTGCAACATGACCTATGTCAAATTGAGGACAAAACCGGAACACAATTGCACGCGCAAATTGTTTACAGCAAATCGTAAGTGGTACATATGCGTTGTTTATTAAGCCTATCAGTAAGACAATCTCATATTTTCCATAAATAAATAAATAATAATTGGTGGACTTAGTTAAAATTGTCCAAAATTATGATAGCCGCTTGGTGGTAGAAATTGGAACTGAACCCAGAACTTCTTAATCTAGTTCCCGGAGTCACTGCCAGGTGACGCCACACATCCGGGTCTGTAGTTTCCCACGCTTTTGGTAAAAGTTCTAGAATTAGTTGCAATTTCCCCCACCAGGAGGTTAGCACAATCACAATCTTGCATTTTCCCGCGCTTTTTCGAATTAAAATTAACCGTCAATTTTAATATTAAATTTACCGTTAACGCAATTTGAACTAAATTTGACAATTATTATTTATTTGTTTACGAATAATATGGAATAGAGTTAGTGGAAGGTATAATAAACAATGCGTATATAAAGTACTCTTACATGTTATTCAGGCTTATAAAAAATTATAATTTATCCGTCGCAAATAATTTCCTCTTCAGTAACTTGGAAACCTTCCGTACGATCATGATACGATCACCGACTGGGTATAGGATAGACCTATCATCTTATGGGACTTCGTGTCTCATGTTCTGAAATACCGATAGTGTAAAAAGTCAGGGATTTTCTGCTGCCCTCTACGTTATGAGAACGGTGAATTTGTGATGAACTACGTTAAATCCATTCGAGCTCAACTAGTCTAACTTCTACAGTGTTATCGAGTCTAAAGTACGCAATGTTCTCAGATCATGAGTGTTCGGTACGTCGGAAAATCATCGAAGGGACCGTGGTCGTGAACGGATTCTCTTCCGTCCGTTAACTGTAAAGTAAACGTATTAGCAAGGAGTCTTGGGTTCCACTCCCGACGGACCTAATAGTTTTTTTTTGCGTACAAAAAAGGTATTGTGTCTGATATTGTTTTTATGAATATGAATATATATTATTATGTACATTTGAGAAAACTATTTTATTATTCCATTGTTATTACAACAGTTTAACAGTGACAACGAACAGATGTATATTTTCAAATATCGGACTAATAGTATATTTTTATTCTATATTCTTACATATAAGTGAGTAATATGTATCAAAAACGTAATCGAAACACAGATTTTTATTACACCATAAACATCGCATAAAAGATAGTTCGTTATATTGACGGTTGTAATAATTATGGATGTTGTGGGGAAATTGTTATTGTTAGTTTTGCTTTCTCAAAGGTGAATGATATAATTAATAATAATAAATCGAAGAGATCGCTGCCGCATGTGGCAAACGGATTCTCTTCTGTCCGTTCGTTGTAAACGTATTAAAAAAAGGTCTACTTACTTTATATGAAGCAGGCTTGGGTACTTTTGATTTGAAATGAAAACTGCAAATAAAAAGAGCCAATATTTATTCCAAATAAAATAACAGATAAGTTTATTTGAAAATAAGGATGTATGCGCACTGTGCCGAACGCGGATACCATGATGTTGTAGTCGCAAGAGAGCAATTGAATCGAATAGACGCATTGTACCGTACTGCATCGTATTGTATTTCAAACTTTTATATCATTATAATTTATATGTATATTCCAATAAACATACGTCAGGTAATATAAGCTTCATTTCATCGAATTGTCTTAAATATAACCATAAATATTATACAATCCTATACTAATTATAGTTGTCTGGTTCAACAGGTTACTACAGAAACTAACTACTGCCTACGTCTTTTAAACTTGGGCTGTAGTAGTATCTGCAGAACTGCCATGGTTGCTGGGGTTACTATACATATAATTTGTATAATTTGAATAAATTGTATAAATTGTATAAATTGTATAAATTGTATATATTGTATATATGTATGTATAATTTGCTCACGGAAGCACGCATAAGTGTCAGTCAGATTTCGACAGTTGCACGAGTAATATTAGACCGAGCTCGAGACTCGTACGGGCAACAACGATAAAGAATCACGTTTCAAAACTCTTACGCATGCTCCGTGGGTTCTATGATCCCACTTCCTCACATATACGGGGTCTCTTGCGCATGCATCGGGGGTTCTATAACCCCACGTGTCACCACACGGGGTCCCTGGCGCCTCCACCGGGGGTTATATGACCCCACGGTCTCCCGACACGGTGTCCCTGGCGCCTCCACGGGGGGTTGTATGACCCCACGGTCTCCCCACACAGGGTCTATGACGTCTCCTCCGGGGTTCTATGACCCCACTTCTTACCACACGGGACTCTGGCGCCTGCTTCGGGGGTTCTATGACCCCACGCGCTCACCGTTTAATTTAATGAAATATGATTTAGTTAGCAGTTTGACAGAATTGCCACTGATGGCGCCACCAGTCGAAAAGCGATTTCTTAACAGTGTTCTGGTCGTTTATTATTATTGTCAATTACAGGGGATTTAAGTAAACGAACATATATTTTTCGTTACGTAGAAAAAATTACGCATCAGTTAACGATGCAACAAAGTAGAATTATCAATGCACACGTATTGATTTAAAACAATCCAGCAACAGAATTTACAAAAGTACGTTATGTGTCAATAATAAATGTGGCAGCAGCATATATGACTAGTTATTAACTTATAAATGCCATAGTTCCATTTTTCTATGTGTTATCAGTTATCAGACTAGAATGTTAGGTGTAGTAATAGGACGTTTTCCAATCTAAATTGTATTACAATATATTCGTACTAGAACTGTAAATAGAATTAAAAATGACGGAAAACGACACTACTGTAGGAACAAAACACTGTGTTAAAAGGTGCATCATATTTAATATAAATATATATAATTTTTTCTACAGGGAGAATCTTGTTTGTTTCTTTTTATAGTGACATTGAAAATGAACGAAAATCCTATATAGACTGGGATGAATATTTTATGGCAACAGCAGTTTTGGCTGCAAAACGAAGTAAGGATCCCTGTACAAAAGTTGGAGCATGCATAGTAAATGATGAACGAAGAATTGTGAGTGTTGGGTATAATGGAATGCCCATTGGTTGCAGTGATAAGGATTTTCCCTGGACCAAAGGTTCAAGCAATCCTTTAGAAAATAAAAAATTTTATGGTCAGTTTATATTAAATGGAAAAGTAAATATTATAATATAAGTTTATTGTTTATGCCGGAGTTATGAAAGGGAGTTTAATAATACCTTGTTTCTATGAAAGTATAAAATTTACAGTATGTCATGCAGAGGTTAATGCCATTTTGAACAAAAACTGTAGTGATGTTAAAAATTGTACCATGTATGTTGGTCTTTTTCCCTGTAATGAGTGTGCCAAAGTAATTATACAATCTGGAATAAAAACAATTATTTATATGTCGGATAAACATGCACACAAAAATAAAACTATAGCTGCTAAAAAAATGTTTGATGCGACAGGTGTTATATACAGGTATTTTAGTTTCAATTATGTATACTTGTAAAGGAACTGTAAGAATTTAATTTCTCTGGTATTAAATCTATCTGTAGTATTGCAATCTTCATATCATTTACATTTAATATCATGTTCTTGAAACTCAACATTTCTGTGTAGAAAATATACTCCAAAGAATGAAAAAATTATAATTGACTTTACATCTATTGACAAGAACGAAGTGGAACAGACACATGAAAAAAGCAGTGTAAGTACCAAGAATCCTAATATTCACATTCAAATTTTTTGTTGTATATATGTCAATAGTTCATTTAGTTCTTTTTCTAGACATCTAAGAAATTGAAACTTCCAACTAATATTACTGGTTAAAGAACACACAAAAATATGACACCATATCTATGGTAATGTTGTTGCTGATGTATGGAGAAAATTTGATTAATATTTTTGTACAAAATTAATTTGGGTGTAGGTATACACAGAAATAAAAAATACTATTTCTTATTTGAAATTTTTACAGATCTAGTTATTTTTTCACCTTTTAACATTAACCGCATGAGGTTTATAGAAAATAAATAAAACAATGTACACAAGGCGAAAGAATTTAGCAATAATACAAAGATACTAAGCAGTATTTATGATAATATTGTCTGCAAGTGTGTTGCAAACTATTTGCTGTACAAGTGTAAACACTGATACGACAAAGTATGGCATGATAGAAAATATGTAACAATATTGATTATTTTTTTTCTCAAAACGACAGAGGGAAGGGCGATTGCTAGTACGTGATACAAATTTTCATGTTGACTCGTTATTAATATAACAACAAAGAGAAATCGAACATATTTTTGATACATATGATAATAATACGTTTATGTACATACTATACATATCCCAGTTTTTGTCTTTAAAATATTACTTCACTTACTGTGACTGAATTCATCATATAGAAAAATATTTAATGCAATGAAGGCGTGTATATATTTTACATGTATCAATATTAATACTAATGCAATAATGTGAATAGTCTTTAAATGTTCGAATTAGTTAAGAATTCGTATTATTGGCGTAGCAAGAACTGTAATAAATCATTTGGTGTATTAGTACGAATTTTTGAAATTATGATAACTGCTTATTACGAATGGCAGTAAGTTTCTAACACAATGATCCAAGTAATAAATAATCACAATTCGTGTTTGATAAATATCAGCTTGTTCGTTTCTTCTTTTTAAGTCTTTTCAAATAGAATAACAAATTACTTTAGTTGTTACTCGTATACATTAAACAATTCGATACGAGAAACCTATATGATGAACTCATTTACATGAGGAGATGGAAGAGGATGTGGGTCGAGGTACCCAATGCTTATCCTTTTGTTCTCTATATTAAATCAGAGATCCAAAGACAAATCTAAACTGAACCTTCTGAAGATTGATGTATCATCCTTAATCAGCATTGTTTATTTTTCAAAGTTTTTGATAATTAGTAGGAGCGAGATAGAAATTTTGTTTTTATACTGAGGTAATAACCTCCGATAAAGATTGGAGCAACTAATGTATCTGTACCCTTTCAAAGGGTAACAGTATTACTAGAGTGTCAAACGTATTGTAGAAAACGTATCAAAAGAATAACAATATTCCAAATGTATTCACACTTCGGCAGATGCATGGTCGAAAGTTGGTGTGACGCGAATGATGGATGTTGAACTGTGTTTTATCTATAAAGAACTACAATAGATCAATACGATATCAAGTTCCAATTGCGAAATGACTAAATAATAAAATGAACGAATATGTCATCTACGTTATCACTTACGTTACAGTATTACTCGCGCAGCCCTGAGAAACATTCCATGCATTTACAGAAGGTATTCTTTCAAACGGCAATTGTTTGTATTCATCGTATTACGATAGACGGTTATACCATTCCGTTTATGTAGACTTTAATTCTTCCATCCGGTATGCGTTACTTTACGAGCGACTCGAAAATGTTGAATACACATTACCATAAATATCACTTGATGTAACTATTTTATTTTTTTATGATTACCATTTAGTTGACTTGATTGTTGTTAGAGTAGTAGCTGAAGTATGTACAAATATTATCACTAATTTGTAGTATCTGCATCGTGTTGCATTTTCTTCTTTTGTTTAAAGAAATTCACGAACTTATTAGTATGCGGCAGTATTTTGAAAAGAAAAATAATGAGGTAATCATAAGATCAGTTCTCGACTAACATACCGGTAGACTTCCAACGTTATATTTTATTCAAAACTTGTCTAATCCGTTCACGTACAGATGCGTGGTATTTATTTTTCTTTTATTCTTCATCGTTTTGCTATCGGTACTTATTGTTTCCGATTTATGGTATACTTTGGTAAATTGCGTACACAATACGCAGCTAATTATTCTTATAGTAACTGTCACAGACTTTCGTGAAATGGACACTACATCCGTTATTGACTGTTCTTGATGAAATTATCAGGGCTCCAATCCAAACGTAGATCATTACCCTGGCTTTAAACACAGGAATAAAGTATATGCACGTGTATATGTGTATGTTCTCTCGTGTATAGGTATGCATGGGCGTGTATGTTTCTAGAAGGAAAACGAGTTAAAATTATATACGTTCACTTGTGTGTTATCTCTATTTTTTTTCTTCTTTTTGAAAGTTTCAATAGTTTTGCAAATGAAGTGAACTAAAAGTTAGTATGGGACTTGGAACAAAGTCTATTCAAATGTAGCGACGAATATGCGTGGTACATGTCGGGTGCTCGATGATCGTCTAGTTTCCAGACTCTACACAGTAGAGTATTATGTAGACATCGCTGAAAATACACCTTAACACCGAGTAGAAATATTCATAGAGCGCGCGCGTATGAATGTATACAAGTCTTTGTATTTTGTACCAATGTGTTAGTTTTCGCACGTCGTTTATATTTTACACACTGCATCCCTATTTGACACCCCCCGCCCCCCATCCATCCCCGAGTTTCGACCCAACCTCCCCTGTGTTCCAAAAATTCATCTTCACTGAACATTTCACACTTCGTCGACCGTTCTTTTAGCGTCGTGGCCCGCGCCATTGTATCAAGCACGTTCGTTAATTCGTTCTGTTCCAATTCTTAATTAATATTTAGCTACTAGCCATCCTCTTAATCTTCGTGCACCTAAAATTCGGGGACCGCGTCGAAGGCGCGTGGCCCGCGCCTTGTCGTGTTGCATAATTTATTAAGATTGTTTATCCAGCACTGTCCCAGAGCACTGTTCACACTACATGAAACCTTCCAGGAACAGTTCCGTGTTATAATACATGTTACTATCGTTAAATCAATATCCGCCAATTTGCTTGCGATACTTCTTTCACTATATCCTTCTTCTCTTTTTTCTCTCTCTCTCTCTCCCTCTCTATCTCCGTGTGTCTCTCGCCTTCATTTATTAGCAACGAATGTTTCTATTTTTTCCTCTCCCACCCCTTAATTTCTCTGTTATTTATTTCAAATGTACTACCCAGAACGGTTCGCATCACACGTTCCTCCTCCATTTGCCTCGTCTAACTACGGAGTAAATTCGGCGACGCTGACGAGCACGTGCCCTGGATCAGTTCTCGATGAAGTTCTCTTTCTCTTGGTGGTTCGCGGTCGCCTTCGTTTCCGATGGTTAGAAAGTGGTCGCGTACGGGAAACGTTCACGGAATGTCACCATGTAATCGGCTATCGTGGATTCGCACTCGCCGAATTGGCCGCTGCGCAACGATTCCATCACTTTCTTGCAATTCTCTAATGTTACGCCTTCGAGATTGTTGATGTTCATTACGAGCGAGAGAGCTTTCGATTGAGCGGACGGGTCCAGAAGATAAAGCATCCGTGCGCCCTGTAGCACATGCGGCAAAGAATTTTGATTTTTCTTCAAAAACTCCGCGTTCAGTTGAGTGGCCGGTGAAGCACCGTAGATCCCGGCTGTTTGATGCTTCACCACCTCACCTACTGGACCCTCCAATGGGGAACGGGCTGTGTGCAGTATGAAACGTACCACACACGAGTGGAGATCCGGATTGTTTGGGTCCAGTCCGTGTGCGCGTTTTATCGACTTCAGCATCAGCAACGTGCGACCTGGAATGAGCGCACGTGTTTAAATATCTATTGAACAACCGAAGTGTGAGTCCCTCCTATAGTCTGCATCGAATCAACCGATCCACACTATAGGCCCTTTAACCTACCGTTGGCGCCCGTTGTCGCTGATCTGCTTCAAGAGCAGAGACTTAAGCTGTACAGGCCAAGAATCGGGCGCCAACACTAACTAAAATCATTTAACATTTATGGTACCTTTGCGAATATAGATTTCAAACGCCATAAGATGTGTCTCTATTCTATCCGACGCCAGATCTTGTAAAGGTTGTAAAAATTTGATCGCTTGCTCCAACGGATCTTCAGCCTAAAAGCAACGATAGTCGGTCAGAATAATATTAACGATTGTTCAACCGGCTAATAACACATCTGAGCAATTCCACTCACCCGTTCCAATTTTTCAGGCATAAGTTCGTCCAACGTGGGCTGCTCCAAATCGGGATCGGTCTGTTGCCGCGATTTATTGTGCTGTTCCCTCTTCTCCTGAGCTTGGGCCGCTTGCTGTCGCTCCAATTCCGCTTTTCTGCTTTGCTTCCTCTGCTTGTTTCTCAGTTTCTTCAATTCCGACGGGGTTAGATTCGCTGTAACAGACGAAACGGAGACGATTTTTTTACAGCGTTACGACCTCGACGTTATGTGCTCACCGAAAGAATAGACAGATGGGAAGAACAAAAGAAGAAGAAGCTGAAGAAGTGCGCTATCGCTACTAATATATCGAATTACAACAAATTGCCCGGTAATGACAGAAATTTCCCGTTGTCCTGAAAATGCCAGTCTCTGCAATATCACTCTAATTGCGGCCATGGTAAATATGAGAACGCCGTATAACTGTCCCCCTCCCCCTCTGACTCTTTCGACATACAGGAGACTTTTACCCGGCGCTCTGCGTCGTGAACCAAGGTCAAACAATGTACACCACCCGAGACACGGTGCTGCTGCTAAAAGCAATTCCGCCCGGTTTGCGCAAAGCCTTTTCTAACTTTTCCTCGTGCTATGGCCCCGTGGTGGCCAGACCTACTGACAACAGTTACTAGGTCTGGCATGCGTGCACGTGTCACGCGTGCACCTTGGTCACGTGCAGTCGACCGCCTTTACCCGTGATACAGTGACAGGGGCAAAAAAGTGTAACCTGCCGACTAGATCGTAATCGTTCGATAGACGCAGGCGGATTTTTAATCTTCTTAGAGAAACTATAAACACACAACTGTAGAGACTTTCCCATTATTAATTCGATAAAAAAAATAACGATAATGGGTATTAGAGAACTGGACCCAATATTCGAGCGAGACAGGTGAAGTATAACACATTAATCCCATTGACGCCTCGTAAATCAGATTTTATACATTTATTGAACAGTTCTGTGCTCGATGTATCGAAAGAAAAGAATTACAGTAATTCCTTCATCAGAGCAACGAACTCAGATCCGCTTCAGAGCATTCATGAGAAGGCGGAAAAATTTGCAGTCCCTCATAAATTTGTTTTTTATCCGAAGCCGCACCTCTGCTTAACTTCTGTTTACTCTGTTTTGATTGGTTCCAGAGGGGAACCATCCTAGTGTTGGGAATAACGCCGTTGCTTGTGTAGTATTCATCGAGGAATCGCTGTATGTTTCTTTTTATAATTCATAGATCAATATGAATATTTTTGTAGTTTCGTGCAACCAAATCTTTACACTGGATTTTAAAGATGTATGAATTAATACGGGAACAGACTACTGTGTGTATAATATATTTATGAAATACACTTTTTCAGCAACTGATCCCGAAATAAATTACACCCGAGACACGTGGGTTCGAGGCTGCTGGAAGAGGTTCGAGTGTATTGCGCTAATTTCCCTGTAGTTACCTTGTTCAGTGAGTATCAACATTTTAATTGCCGTTTTATTAATGCAGTTTTATAACACACATGAAAATCCCGACCACGCTTTCCAATTATGTAAGGAACAGTCAATGCGCTATTAGAACGCGGTAGAGTCTGGGCTCCATGCTCCGTGAATTCGTGAATGGCGTCGAAATCACCATAGGGGATTCCATTCTTCGGACGATTTCTTTTTTCCCTGTCGGACACCGGTTGTTTTGTATTCATGAAAAACAATGTATAAAATATTCATTCTAGATACTTTTTCCAAATCCGAAGTAAATTATTCACGAATCAAATTAAAAATTTCGTTTAACAAAGGATCACAGTGAATAAGTCTTGGAAGCGTTTGTATCTTCCTGTTAACTGTCATTACAAAACTATAAATTATTTATATGCTTCATTGTTATACGTGACAAATTATTGCTCGTCCATCAAGTGTATATCATGACGCATTAATCATCCGACTCTTCAATGCCCCATAACTGTCCTATGCGTTCAACATGTGACTGCCACAGTGAAAAAAGGCCGTACGTAGCCAGACACCCTTTATTTCGTTTCTATGTCATAAATCGTGGAAAACATATATCCGTTCAGTTAATAGAGGTTGTTGGTCTTGTTTTAAATTATACTGCAATATTAATTTCACACAAAAATTTTGTAACCGTATTTAAATAATCCGTCTTTGCAATGTACGTATCACCCATGTTGGAAGACGTGGCGGTCAAAGTGTTAAATTGGTCCAGAACCGATTAACTTGCAAATTCTCTCATTACCCACCCATACGAATAATTAAACCAAAAGGGAGAAAATCTGCATTACACCGGGACAACAAGTCGGTTAATCGGAATAACAAAGCCTGAAAGTTCACGTGGTTAGAAAAAACAGGTCGGCACCACCAGTATATCCAGAACTATTTCCCACACACAATGGCTCACGACGACGCGATAAACTATGACCAAGCGGGGACAGGTATCGTGTAGCACGTCTCTCTGGATCACTCACTATCATTAATTCTCCTGGTAATGAACGCCTCTAAAAAAAAGGACGCGATACTCTTGGTGTTCACGAACTTCACCACGGGATCAGAAGGAGTAATTCGATAAATTCAGCTCGTTAAGTTTTGCCCCGTCGAGAAAGAGACAGGCGATTCTAATTGGTCCGCTGGTTTCTCTACCTCGGGTGGAAAATATAGTTACCAATTAGGGGCCGGGTATGCGACTATACACCAAGGAATTTTTCATCCTTGACAAAGGGGGAGACCTTGCAGCGCGTATTACGAGCGCTCTCGGGAATGTGGAGCAACAGGCGACGGCCGGGCACGCAACGTTTATGCAAATTGCATCCCCCCCCCCCTTCCTTCGATCGATTATGCGCGTTGACCCGCCCTGCGGTTTGTTTCCATCACGAAGAAAATCGATTTACCTCCAGCGATTTCCTGCAATCGACAGGGGAACGCCTCGTAAAAATTCAACAGAATCGCAACTGAAAACATCGACAGGACGATCCTCCATGTTGCATTCCGATTGCATTTCGGAATCGATGATTATCTATTCCGTGGCCAGACCGCATCGAATTTCACGCGATTCTGGCAACGATGGAAAATATACACCACGAATCTCCGTGATTTCACCTGAGCACAGACACCTCCCTGATTTGTATGTGCCATCGCGCCTTTCAGTTTCTTTTGTTCGCACCACAATAGCCAGACTTCGTCGATCCAAGAATTGGCTGTTCTTTTTTTTTTTTTCAATGGACGATTGCGCCGTTAACGCGTCGTTACGTTATTTCTCTCAACAGAGCCATGGACACCCACACGAACTTCTCACGGATTGAGTCATTCGAATGATGTGGGTAAGCAATGACTGAGGATTTGTCGAACGTGACAAGCCTGAGAGTGACCGAAAACCTGTCTTCTGGGTGTTGTTTTCTTTATAGTGTGTTCGAGGGGATTACCCTGTTGGAAGATTTGAACTTGAAAGCAGCGAGGTTCGAATCTTCTGGACGGTAGAAAAGTGTGTAAATACTATAGTCACGATGGTGACTGTTCCACCACTATTACTTGTTTGAAAGATAGAATTTGTAGATTTGAGTGTATACAAGGCAACGAGTTTTATAGCTGAGAAAGTGAAGGCAGACAGTGTCAGAGTTAGGACAACTATGATGGGTCCATTATGACCCGGGATTTCAGAACCTTAAGACGTAGCTTGAAGAAACTAAGTGTACAGTTGTGTATAATAGCGTTTTATGAGAAAACCAATATATTTTGAAGAAATTCGTTCCAAAATGAATCTAAAGACAGATGAATCTATCTAGATAGATCTCTTATACCTTAACTAGGTAACCTCGTCTATTCGATCGTCAAAAACGTCAACTTTCCAATGGTTAAAGGAAGAGACGACATTCATTGTCAAATTAACTTCAGTAAGACTATGGTTCTAATTATATTGTAATATTCTTACAATTTTTAAACTTTTATTTCTACGTGATCCATTCAATCTCTAAAGCTCAGAAACGGAGCCCACAATACTTAAATCCAAGAGTCTGGTTTACCACGATGTTTCTCACTTTTGTTCTCTCGTTTAGGTGTGGGATTAGCGGGTCCCGTCGTCACCGTGTTAAAAATAAGATGGTCGAGGCTACGGTTTTGCATAAAATGCACCGTTTCACCGGTACACACAACGAATTCAAATTCACCACCTGGTGAAATAATTGCGGTTAGGTAAGAAGCTCCTAAGTAGTGCAAATGACGGGGGCGACAAGGTCAGGTGGATGTAAGATGTTCCGTCGTTCTTAAATCGGTGCGATTAAGCGGGACGAGAGAAACAGACGCTCAGAGAGATGAACGTAAAACTATTCAGACGATGCTTGTTCATTTTAATGACGACGAAGACGAACATCTGCCATTTACCAGCCTGCATCCATCGTCGACCGTCAAAACGTTTCCTTTCTCTAGGTCGTTGGATGTCACAAAAACAGGGAATCACTGGTGAGATAGATCCGATTCCGGGATCAGAAATCGGTAACGCATTCTTTGATGAAATCGCTGATCGAACTATAATTGTTGAGTAATACCCGGTAACTGCGTTACACGGATAGAGTGACTGACATAACAAGACAATAAATAATTGATTTTCGCAATAGGACGACACGTTGATCCATTCAATTTTTTTAAAAGCTAAGTCAGATCTTTCAGTACCTCTAACAACCCTGTATTTTCGATTATACAAATTACATGTTTTTTTACTCTCGATCGTAGTTAAATTACGCCATCCTGTCATTGTGACACAAACATTTCACTGATCCATTAGAGGATTAATACTCGTGACTCGGACAAAGTGGAATTTTCAGATAAACGGATGGTACACGAAGCAAAATGCACATTTTTCAGTGACGCAAGGAAGTTTACGTAATCGCTTCTGGCATGGAACCATTAGCGACTCCCGTTACGTTTGCAAGTTCGGCCGGTGGAATATAGCGGAAGTTCAAGACCGCACGTACGGTCAACAAACAGAGTGTTCGAGACGCTGGGTGGTTCCGTGCACTTCGAGGAAGTCGGTTGGATTTCTGTCCAGGTGAATCGAAAAAGATTTCGTAACAAGTCGTGGTTTCTTTTATTAAGTCGCTACAAAAGATTTCAATTCTTTTTTTAATCTTGAATGTGACCTCTTGAATCCTTCGATCCATTGAAAAATATCTGTGTACCCGTTATTAAAAGATAATA